GCGAAGGTGGTTCTAAAACTTTTTTTTTCATGATTAAACATTTAACATTTTTTTTATTATTATTTTTTTCATTTTGTGTTGACAACTGAAATCTAGTCAAAATTTATGTATTGATATTATATTGATGTGTGTAATTCTAAGAATTACAGCCTATTTATATAAGTAACTTCTTTTTCCTTAATCTTATATAAAGGTGTATCTGAAATGATTTTTTATGTAATCATTATATAATTATATAAAAAAAGAGTTCCCAATTCAACAATTCTTGTTGTTGATTGGACCAACCTCTTTTTTTATTTTATTTTTCTTTCTATTGGACCAAAAGTACTTTATTTCTATATATTTTTTATTTATTTGTTGTAGCTTTTGGGTGGTATACGTGTTATTCACTGCTTCCGCCTCCTCATTCTTTCAATTAGACACCAACAACAGATGTTAATCACCACCTCTCTCCATTGAATGATTTCCTCTCCAACCTTCTCTCTCATTTCAATTCCACCCCTCACTGCCTGCCACAGCCTCCGATTGAGGAATGTGCTAATCTTTCTTCTGGAATTGATATTGTTGGTCCTCTGCCTATGCTTTCTTCGACTTCTTCGACTGACCCTCTTGCTTTCGGTTTAGGGCTTTAAATTGTTTCCCTTTTGTCAAGGTAAATGGGAGAAGATGCTTGACGCTTTCAGTTACCAATTTATTTTGATTTCTTTACTTTCATATTATGATTCACTTTGTTGTTTTTAAAATTTTTGGTTTCTTCTTCCAGGTTTCTCAATCGGGTCTCTTTCATGGAAGACATGCACTATAGGCCATGGTTTTGGGCATTGAATTGGGGTACACTGATTGACTGTCTCTATTTCTATTTTGGTTCGATTTTAAGAATCTATAGCACGATTTCTAGGTTTTGATATTCAATTGACTTACCAATTTATCTTAGGGCTTTGATATTATCGTACAACTCCTCTTAGTGAAGGCTCATCAGGAAGTCATTCAGCCTGAAGTTGTTATCGTGACTATCATTTTAGGTCGATCTTTCTTATGCTTTTCACTGTTTGTGATTTTTTTTTTTAATGATTTCTCTCTTTTCTTATGCTTTACAGGAGAATTGCATATAATAGCAATGTAGTTTACAGTGGCTACCATTTTAGGCAAATCAGACGACCAATCCATGGAAGACAACCTGGCGTTTATGATTGGTTTAATCCAAATCTAACCCCCGCTACGCGGGGGCTCTTTTCTAGTATATATTAAAAATATGAAAGTTAAGAATAGTAAAATTTCTAAGTGTTTGGCAAAATTGGTCCTATGTTTGCTCCTCTTTTTTTGTCAATTTTTTTGTCACTTTTGGTCATCTAGCGTATGTTAGTTTTAAAAACTACTTACAACATTGACCCTTCACCTTCATGTTTTTGTTCACAAACAACTTTTTCACTTTCATTTGAATTTTTCATAACCCTCGTATTTTATTACATATTATTAGTATTTAGTCTTTTGGCAGAAATGGTCCCTCATTATTATTATTATTGTTAGACAAAATTACACAATTGGTCCCTGTGGTTTACCAGATTTAACACATTGAGGACAAATATATATATATATATATATATATATATATATATATATATATATATATATATATATATATATATATATATATATATATATTAAAGATATGAAAGTTAGGAATAGTAAAATTCCTAAGTGTTTGGCAAGATTGGTCCTATGTTTGCTCCTCTTTTTTTGTCATTTTTTTTTGTCACTTTTGGTCCTCTAACTTATGTTGGTTTTAAAAAACTACTTACAACATTGATCCTTCACCTTTATGTTTTTGTTCACAAACAACTCTTTCACTTCGTTTGAATTTTTCATAACCATCGCCTTTTATTATATATTATTAGTATTTAATCTTTTAGCAGAAATGGTCCATCATCATTATTATTATTATTATTATTATTATTATTATTATTATTATTATTATTAGACAAAATTACACGATTGGTCCCTATGGTTTACCAGATTTAACACATTGAGGACAACGATGGAAACCGAAATCACTCTTTTACTCCTAATCCGATTTTTTTATTAATTTATATTTCTCTTTTTGGTTTTAAATTAATATTTTATTTATTAGAAAATATTCACCCAATACCATAAAGCCGCCCACCAACTGCCATCACCACCACCACCACCAAAGCCAAAATTACATAAATGGTTCATATGGTTTACCCGTCGTCACAAATTCAGTCCCTACTACCTTAAAAGACCAAATTACTCTCACATTAACGGATAAAAAACAACGGTCTATATTTTGCGGATTGGTTTTCCGGCCGCTGCCATACATGGCAATAAAGTTCAATTTGTGAGACCATTTCTTTATTTTCTTAATTTATTGCAAGAAATAATGATTTCGATTTCTTTATTTATGTAATTAGATGACATTATTTATATTTTTTTACTAAATTATCTCAATGCAATTCAACATGCTACTTTACTTTACAAAGCAATACTTTCGATCCAGTAACATCGGGGAATCTTTTCTAGTTTTAAATAAAAGAAAGAATAAACATATCAAGTTTTTTTTGGCAGCTTATTGAAGTAAAAGTTTATGTACATAATGGAATCCCACCTGGTTTGCTCTACTTGTGGTGTGCTCTTGACTTATGTTTGTTTTTGCATCTACATTTGAACCTTTATTATTTTCATTTTATGCTTTATGTGTTCAATGATGTGAAGCATTTCTATATTTCTATAAATATATGAATATATAATTTGTTTTACATTTTATTATTGTCTCGTTAGCATCTTGAGAAGCTTTAAATGTATGATTGTACTTGGCGTTAAGTCATGTATTGGTATTATATTGCTGCGTCTTTGTTTGTTTTTGGACAGGAAATTGCTCCTACTAATTCTAAAATATGATATAGTGTGTTGGAGAGAAGTTCATAATTGCTACTACTAATTCTAAAATATGACATAGTGTGTGGGAGAGAAGTTCATCTGCAATTAATTTCAAGGGTTTTTTTTTTTTTTTTTTTTTTTTTTTTTGTACTTTATGTTTAAGATGTACCTGGTTCCATATTTAGACATATTTAATTCAAAAAAGTAAATATATTGATGAAAAACAATGAAAATTTTTATTATTTTCCACTTGCTATAATTTATTATTTTTTATTGATTTTATATTGTAGATAAAAATTGTGTATATATAAGTAGTCTAAATGATAAAATCCTATGAGTATTTACAAGCGTAAAATGTACTACAAAATATTTTTTGTATTATGGCAAATAAAAAAGTATCAATAATATCTTAAAGTGTGTAATTAAAAGTAGCATGAATTTTTGAATTGGATAAGGATTCAATGGTACAAAATATGTGCCACAAAAACTTTATTCTACTGTGACAAATAAAAAAATATCACTAAATGCCTAAAAAACTACAACAACAAAAGATAAAAATGTCACTAAAGGGTTTTAGTGGGAGTCTTTCTAGTCACACTTATTATTTAAGAAGCCTTTAGTTGCATTATTTTGGGTTTTAGTGGCACATTTTGTGTGCCGCTAAATAACATATTTTTTTGTTAGTGCACTTAGAATTATAATGTGTTAATTTTAGGGGTTTTAGTGTAGGCTTTTTGTAATTAAGGACTAGTCATAAGTGCAAGGAAAGAGAGAAAAAAGGTTTACACATGCAATACTTGATCTTATTACTCTTGGGCCCACTGTGTATATTATTGTATCTGTATTAGATAGCTTGCAGATGTTGCCTTATAAAGGTAATAGCCAATACTTCATTTTATCTTTTGGAGTCGATGCATAAATTCGAACTTAAGTGGGTCAAAATAGTAGGACAACAACTGCTTCATATAGGATCAGAAAACATATAATTGTAAAGTATGATGGAATAAAGTAAAGAATAGTTAATGTGATCAAATAAATTAGTTGTAGTTTTTGTAGGTTGAGTCGTGTTTGTTGTGTCATCTTAGTATCTCGTTATAGTTGACAGTTTATATATTATTCAAGTGAGTTACACTTGTTTGATGTGGCATGCACTTGTTTGATATGATGATAGCCTCTTGTTCTTGTTAGAGGCAAGAGGAAAAAGTTACATACTATTATGGTTTTTAAGACTTCCATACAACATTTTAAAGGCTCTTTATTTTATTTAGCTTTTGAGCAAAACATTTGAAAGATTATTTACGATGTCATGTTTGTGTTTAACATCTGATGTTTATTTGAATGTTGTATTAAATTTATGAATTTTTTTAATAAGAAATATATTATTTAAAAAAATGAATCTACTATAATAAATGAAGATTTTTTTGCCACATATCCTCTTCTCATTCATTTTCATTTGGACACATGTCATTTTTCTAGAATTTTTAATTTTTCTATTTTCCACTTGTCATTTTATTGTATTTTAATTTTATTAAATTAAAATTTCACATTTAATGTGTAAGGTAATATATATGTAAAGTATTTATTAGAAAAAATTTATATATGTAATGTATTCAATACATTAAAGTCTCATTAATTTTAATAATTCAAATTTTTTTTATTTTTCTTATAAATTCAAACTTTTCAAATTATTAAAATTTTATATTTATTTTTTTTAATTAAACCCATATATTACATGGGTTTCACACCTAGTGTTTCAATAAAGCTATCAAACTCCAACTATTTTTGCTTCGGTTCGAATACATTTTTCTATAGTTTGTCTATAATCCTTTAAGGTATGCCACGTAGATTCCTTCATTAAGGAGACTTCTAAAACCAAAATTCTCAAGACTAACCCGATTATAGTCTTCTTAATTATTGGAGAAAAGATTGATTATAATCAACTCTTCTTTTACGTTACACCAAAACAAGTTTCAATAAGAATATTTTAAAAAAGACAACCTTTTTTAATGTGAATTTCTTGTAGCTTTCTATAAATAGAGCAATAGCAAAAAAGACATGTATAAGAGTTTCATCCCTTTGGGAGAAAAGAATCATCAAATCCCATATATTTGACAGAAAATAGCTTTTCATCTTAATTAAACAAAGCACCATAAAAGATCAATCATCATGTATAAAAAAAGATAACTAGATTTTTGGTCTTCAGGCTCATAGTTAATAATCTTGCTCATCTTCTTCATCATCAATCCAATCTCCATAAATTCGGTTGATCTTCTTATTTGATAATCTCAACTTTGCAAACCCCCGTCCTTCACCTTGTTCTAAAGGACCAGCCATGGCAGAATTACTAGGCGGCAGTTCAGCCGAACTGGCGGCAATGGAACCTTGAACCTCCACACGTGCAACCGGTGTGTTTAATTCTGAAAAATAAAAACAATAAAAGAAAAACACGTCAATAAATAAATACACTTAGAAAACATAACAAGAATCTAAAATAGTCAAAAAGAATAATGAAAACAGAACAAGAATCTAATGATGGTTGACCACAAAACCTTAAAGCTCGTATCTTTTTTATTTAGAGTAAATTACACGAATGGTCCCTATGGTTTGGGGTAATCTGCGCGCTTGGTCACTAACTTTTATTTTTAATTCGGAAGGTTCCTAATGCTTGTTTTTGTTACACGTTTGGTCACTGTATTACCTAAAAAGACTATTATTTAAATAGGAAAGAATGATAGGGTAGGTAAGGTAAGGTGAGGGTGGGGTTAGGGGTGTGTTTATTTAAATAAATTAAAAAATCAAGGGCGAAATAGTAATTTTAGGTAAGACAGGAACCATGCGCATAATAAAAACAAACAGTAGGAACCTTCCGAGTTAAAAAAATAAGTTAGAGACCAAACATGCAAATTACCCTAAACCATAGGGACCATTTGTGTAATTTAGTCTTTTATTTACTCAAGGGCTAAATACAAAAATAATAATATACTTTCTACTTTTTTTTTATTATAGCATCATACTTCATTATTCCTCATTAGGGTAATCTATTTTGTAAAAAATCAACCCATTTAAAGTACAATGTTGTAATAAAAATGAATGTTTGATGATATAATTTAAAAAAAAAATGGTTCGAAAGAGTTCAATAAATTTTTTTTTATGTCACATGTGGACATTGACATGACTAAAAACACCATTAATCAATCACAAACTTTACCCAAGTCCCAAACTTTTTTCAAAAGTTTCAATAAAATCCTAAGAGTTTTTTTTAAACAGAAAAGTCCCAATGTTTTGAAAAAATCATATAATCTATCATTTGCTGTTCAAATATAAAAAAGAACTTTTTCGTTAATTTAGGCAAAATATCAAAATATCAGGACTTTTCTGTTCAAAAAAAAAAAAAAAAAAAAAAAAAAAACTTTTAGAACTTTATTAAAACTTTTGAAAAAAGTTTGGGACTTTTCTGTAGATAATCCTAATACCATTGCATATTCTTTTTCATAATTTGTCATAAAACATCAAATCATATCCAATATTTAAACTTATATGCAAACAATACGATTAAAAAAGAGTGTAAACAAAAGAGTGTAAACGGATGTATATTTTTATACCTGAAATCCCATGAGCAAAATGACATTTATCCCCAAATACACATTGCTCTGTTGTTTCCCATTTGCTACAAATTCGAGTTTTCCAAAATGTAGCATTAGGATCACTACTCAAACTACTAACTTTAATAGCATTCATGTTATTAATATTATTATGCAACCGTTGTTGACTTCCATTGGGTTGACCACGGTCAACCAATGTCTGAATCTTAATCACAGAACTATCTCTTGTTCTTTCCGTTTGAGCCTTGAATTTTGCAGGATTTTCATGGAGGAAATTACATTTTTCTCCATAAGGGCATTCACCTGTGTTAACAAACTTATGACATATCCTCATTTGGTGTATGATTCTTTGGTCATCATTCCAATTTTGCCCTCGGTTATCTTTCACAAGATCTGGCCAATTAGGTGGGGGTTCACGTAAATCTTTAGAGCCATGAGCAAAAGTACAGCTGTCACCATTTCTACAGTTTCCTTCTAGAAACTTCTGACATATTCGAGTTTTGTAGAATATGTGAGTGGTTCCTCTGTTTATAGGGGGTAATATAGGTGTTGACTTTTGTGGGTTTGCGTTGACTTCACCTCCACCATTGTTGCCTCCAAGAACAGGGTGTTGGATCATTGTGAGTTGTTTGGTTAATAATTAATGAAACTGTGACATAAAATGATCACGAATTGAAGTTAGAGAAAGACAATATATACACAATGCAATAATTACATGGTGTAAAAAGGATTTTTTTTTTTTAAATTAAACCTTTTTTTATCAAATCATATGTTTACATGAAGATAATTAAAAAAAAAAAGCAAGAAACGGAGTAACATCAAGGAGAAAATAATCATAAAACAAGAAACAGAGTAACATCAAGAAAAGGGCATTAAAATCTTTATAAAACAGAAGATTGTTGTAAAAAAATTAAATATAACAGGGTTATTACTAAAAACCCATCATACATTTTACCCAAAGAAAATGAAAAATCAGTCTTCAGAGATTGGTAAAATCGCTTGTAAATTCAAGAGTTCGATTGTCTTGAAATTCTTAAGATTGATTGTATACAAAATTAGGTTTATAACCGAAAACGCAGAAAAAGTTTTGGCTAAAAAAAGTTAAACTGGTAATAATGGTGATGATTAAAGACAATTTATTGGATTGCGAAGGAAAAAGAAAATGTCAAATTCAAAAAATAAGTTAGTAGGGACAACAAGCTTGTGGCGTATATATAAACAATATTTTTCTTAAAAACATTAAAATCTAACCTGCAAAAAATTGGCGATGATCAAAGAGCTTTCCTGGCGACTCAAGAACAGGCAGATAAGAATCGGCGACGATAAATAAAACTGAGAAAACCCTAGACGAGATTGAAAAGACGATTAAGAAGTTTGTATATATATACACGTTAATTATATATGACAAATACAATTAAGGTAATATCTTTAATCTCCATATATACATTAATGGTTTTTCAAGAAAGGAAAGTGGATTTCATGTGTGTCGATTTAGAAGATGAATGTCGAGAGCAAAAGAGGTTTTAGGGATGGACTAAAACCCTAAAACCTTCTACTCAAACAGCTAAGCTTCTAATCATCATTATCGGATATTTGTTAATTGTTATCTTTATAATTTAAAATTTAAAATAATTAAAATAAAAAATTATGTCTAAAAAATATGTTCCGAAAAAGATTTCACCTAAAAGATAATAACACATTAACTAATTGGCTTTATGTTTATTTGATTATTTATTAATTTTAAGTTTTAAAAGGCTATTAATTTTTTTATTTTTTGCCAAAAATAGTTAGTTATTATGACAGGCAATAATAGGTATTTTTATTTTTTTTTTTGGCTTAAATGGTAATTATTATTATTATTATTATTATTATTATTATTAATTGGTTATTTCAAGGGCATTTGATTGTTTTGACTATAATTAATCATTTAACTTTTCAAATTATGTTTATTATTTTTATTAGGTTATAATATGTGGAAAACACGGTCAGTATATTTAAAATTTTTATATAAATAAAAAAATTATAAATATAAAACATACCCAAAATATTATGGATCGTAAGCAATTATAAATTAATTTGTAATGCAAAATAAGCATAGTAATGTTATCAGGATATAACCGTGTATTTTTAAATTTTGAATTGAATTTAATTTGTTACCAAAAAAAGAATTAATAAAAATCATAGAAAAAATATCCAATGTTAAAAAGACATTTAAAGAAACCGACATATGTCATTTTTAGTTTTCATTTATTAAAAGAGGTAGATATTTTTTTTATTCGATTTTATAACTTTTTTATTTAGAAAATCCCTTATTTAATTCTTATATGTTTTTCAAAAAATCATTTTTATATTTATATTTTTTATTTTGTTTATATATATATATATATATATATCCACAAATCGTGTTCAAAACTTCATTTTTCATGTTTTTCTCTTTTGCATAGTTTGTTGACTTCATCTTCATATTCTTTTTTTTCAAAATCTATTTTTATAATTTTATTAAGGGATTTTCTAATATGTATTCTAAAAAATAAGGACATACATAAGAACTATTAATTATGAGAAATATTATCATAATTAAATGTGAAATCAGAATATTTTCTATAATTAATAAATTTCACATTTAATTATATTAATATTTCCCATAATTAATAGTTCAATTAATGTTTCTTATGTATCCACTTAAGGCACGTATTAAAAAAAATCTCATTCATTAATATCTTTGTTTTTAGACAAAATTGCAAAAATGGTTTTGGTTTAAAAAGCTTTTGAGGTGTATCAATGGTCTAATTTTGGATCTTTCTAGTGTTTTTGTTATATGTCAGCTTGAAAATACTATTATATCCTTATATTTTATTTTATTTTTCTATTTTTAATTATTGTAATCCTTACTTATTTAGAAATTAAAAACATAGCATAATCCATCTCGCCGTTCTCTAGCCGGAAACCACCAACACTGGTTCCCCTTCTTGACCAGATCTAAACCAAGTGCCTAAAAATCACACTTAGTATCCAAATAAATGCAAGGGGTGCTCAAACCCACAAATTAAACTCATATATCATGCCCATACACAATTCCATCAATTAAAATCAAAAATCAAGGATGAAATCAAAATCCTAGAAACAAAAATTCACAAGTGTACGAAACCAAAAGTAAAACCTGAAACCCAAAAGAAACCTAAACCAGAACCTACATCTTTTTTATTTGATTCACGTTTCATACAGTAGAAAGGTGAAGATAATGATGGTGATGAACTCGCATGTGGGAGCTGATGAACAAGCATGGGTGGGACGGTGTTGGTACCAAAGAATCGGCGATTGGAGGTTAATCACATCATTGTAGTTTGCATTTATGTTTAAAGATACTATCATCGGAGTTTTTTAGGGTAAGCGGTGATGAGCCACCATAGTTTTTGGATTCCTCTCAAACGTCACAACAATTAATCATCGAAAACCCTAAATCATTTGGTGGAAACCCTAGCTCCGATCGACTCATATTGTGGTGATGGAGAGAAGCAGTGAGAATTTTGGAGTTTGGGCGGTGGGAGGTGGGGTTGTTGTCATCATCGGAGGCAAAACCGATGGTTGAGGTTATGTATAGCCCGAGAGTAAAAAAGAAGGAAAATCAAGAGAGGGGGAGGGGTGGGTATTAGGCATGATGACTTATATGGAGCCGCTTGAGAACTTCTTTTAGTTTATTTAATTAAAAATTAAGAAATCTTGATAAATTTGATAAAAAGAAATTTAAAAAACAATTTTATGGGAATATTCATCATTTTTAGGTTGGGTGTGAACCAAAATCACACAAAAATTTTAGCACATGTTCCAGGTATTACATAATTTAATTAAGTTTAAGGGTTTTGGTGTGTGGACTCGGCGAGTTGGGAGTCCAACTCATCGAGTAGAGGACATTTCAAGGATGCAGAATCTACACCCTACTCGATGCGTTGGAAGGATGACTCGACGAGCAGGCGTTGTAATGATAAAACCCTAATTTTAGGGTTTGCACCCTATATAATCTCCTTATGAGCATTGAGGCCGACCTCCCATTAGCCTCCAAACCCTAAGAACGCCTGTGCTAACCCTAATCCCCATTCTCTTCCATTATGTGAGCTAGAGTGAGCTTTGAAGCTTAAGAAGAAGGATATAGTGAGAAGATCCAGCAAACCAAGCACCAATCCTTGAGCTTAATCATCTTGTGGACTGCTATAAGTCTTCAAGACTCTATTTTTATCATAGAATATGGTAAGATCTTGAGTTTACTCTTCATTTCCTACCATTCTTGTTGAATGCATGCATGGGATTCATAAAGTTTGCAATTTTATGAATCTCTAGAGCAAAATGGTCCGAAGGTGGGCTAGATCTGGCGTTAAGTTGAGCAAGGACACCATGTAAGGGTTTTAGGGCATATTTCCCACTTTTTGGCCATTTTGACCTAGGGACATGCATTAGACATGCATGTCCATAAAGCCTCCATCTTTGGAACGTTTTGAGGACTAGAAACCTTTTTGGAAAGGAGGAATTTCATATCCCTAGAGTTTTGTACCATATAGTAAAGCTTTGGAGCATTCCAACCTTTGTTAAGGGACTTGGAGCATTTGGAACGGTTCTAGAAGGTAAAGTTGGAAACTTTATCCTTCTAGACACCTTAGGGTTTTAGATCTAAGCTATGGAGTCCCTAGATTCGGTGAATCATCACAACAAGCAAACAGGAAGGGGGACTCGACGAGTTGCTCTAGGAACTCGACGAGTCGGATCGGGTTTCCCCGCCTTCTGAATAACAAGTGAACTCAATGAGTTGGCTAGGGATTTGATCAGGTTGTTTGGACTCGGTAGGAACTCGACGAGTCGCTAGATGCACTAGACGAGTTGAGGTCAACATGGATTGTTAACTTTTGACTATTAACTTTGACGTTGACCACGGTTGACCAGGGTTGACCTTGAGGGTAATTTTGGGATTTTGACAAGTCTATCTTATGATGCTTACAGGTAGTTGATTCTGAGCAACACGTGGGACATACATGGTTCTACATTGTCAGTTTCAGCATTCGAGAGAGGTGAGTCTTCTCACTATACCAATGGGTCTAAGGCACCAAGGTTGGCCCATTTTATGTTATATGGTACATTAGCGTTTGTAGAGATATGCGGTATGATAGTTAGCTTTATGCTAAATATATGCTAGTACTTGTATATTATTGCATGGAAGACCCCGGGGGAGCCTGTGACAGTTGGATATAAGACCATGTGGGGTAGCCCATAGCATTCCCAGTTAAAGACCATTAGGGTAGCCCATGGCATGATGGTATAAGACCTTGGGGAGATCCCAGGACATCCTTACAAGCTTATGTATGTGTATGTAGTATGTTCGACACTTCTGTGATATGATATGATAGATTGATTATGTATGTTATTGCATGAAAGACCTGATGGGTTTTAAGCAAAACATCATTCCTATGGTGTAAATGGAACTTAAAAGAGTTAGTTAATGGATTATACCTAAAGTAGAGCCATACATTTTGACTTTCCCATCTCTTAGATCTCTTAGGTAAATAGGGAAACTTCGTCTCCAATGCCCCTTCTCTTGGTAATAAAAGCAAATCGACTCTTTTGGAATAGCACACGGAACTACTTCTGACTTTGCCTTTCTCTTATGATCAAACTTTTCGATCATGGCATGCCTTTCGTTGCCATTGCCTATATCCATAGAGGTCTGGAAGGCAGATCCACCAATCAACTTTGCTTTTCCAGTGCGCCAAATCATTGTTGATTCAGCAGCAATAAGCATATAGGTGAGATCAATGAGGGTTACGTCGTGGTTCATCATATAGTACTCTCTTACGAACTCACTATATGAGTCAAGAAGTGACTGAAGAACCCAATCAACAGCCAGCTTCTCACAGACAACAGATCCCAACATTCTTAACCTATCAATGTATGACTTCATCTCTAGGACGTGTGCACACACTGACTTTCCTTCTTCATGTTTACTTGCCAAAAGGGCTTGAGTGAGTTTGAACTTTTCAATCTTTTTTGAACTTCTGGGTTAGGGAGAATAATTGGAGGAGGTGGAGGAAGTGAAGCATGATCTCTTGTTCCCCGATCGAATCGTGGAATATCATCTTCATGTGGAAAGCTTGTTCCATGGGATTTGGGGAAGAACATAGTTGTCACACTTTGACATATACAAAACGGGAGAAAAATCAAGTTAAATTGATTGATTGAGTCCTTAATAAATCACCCAAATGAGATATTAAGGCTAGGACCCAACACAATACTCTACAACCTAGAAGAGGGATGTCGTAATCTAGTTGCAGAATATTTGAAGGTAGGTAAATGATGATTTACCAATTTCCACCTTGAAAAACGAAAAATAAATTTAAGTTTTAAATATATTGAAAATTCCTAGATCTTTTGAGATTCATTGAACATTTCAATGGCATGTTTAAATCTCGATATGCCCCTCGATTTGTGACTGGGATGCCGAGGATCACAAAACAGGGTGTGAATAACCATGCAAACTTACATGGTGCCCCTAATGTTACAAACCACCTATTCGATGTG